TCACAACGTAACTGGGTGGCTATAAAGGTACACTACAGGTATCTCCGAAAGTGTCTGTTGGGTTGGCACGAATCGAGACTGGGATTTGTCACTCCGTGTAAACGGAGAGGTATCTCTGGGCCCACTCGGTAGGACATCATCATAATGTGCACAATGTGATCAAGGAGTTGATCACGGGATGATGTGTTACGAAACGAGTAAAGAGACTTGCCGGTAACGAGATTGAACAAGGTATCGGGATACCGACGATCGAATCTCGGGCAAGTATCGTACCACTAGACAAAGGGAATTGTATACGGGATTGATTAAGTCCTTGACATCGTGGTTCATCCGATGAGATCATCGTGGAACATGTGGGAGCCAACATGGGTATCCAGATCCCGCTGTTGGTTATTGACTGGAGAGTCATCTCGGTCATGTCTTCATGTCTCCCGAACCCGTAGGGTCTACACACTTAAGGTTCGGTGACGCTAGGGTTATAGAGATATTAGTATGCGGTAACCCGAAAGTTGTTCGGAGTCCCGGATGAGATCTCGGACGTCACGAGGAGTTCCGGAATGGTCCAGAGGTAAAGAATTATATATAGGAAGTGCTATTTCGGCTATCGGGACAAGTTTCGGGGTCACCGGTATTGTACCGGGACCACCGGAAGGGTCCCAGGGGTCCACCGGGTGGGGCCACCTGCCCCGGGGGGCCACATGGGCTGTAGGGGATGCGCCTTGGCCTGTATGGGCCAAGGTCACCAGCCCCAAGAGGCCCATGCACCAAGAGAGAGGGAAAGGAAGAGTCCTAAAGGGGGAAGGCACCTCCTAGGTGCCTTGGGGAGGATGGATTCCTCCCTTGGCCGCACCCTTCCTTGGAGGAAGGGCCAAGGCTGCGCCCCCCCTCTCCCTTGGCCCTATATATAGTGGGGGAAAGAGAGGACAACAATACCTAAGCCCTGGCGCCTCCCTCTCCCTCCCATGACACATCTCCCTTCTCCCGCAGCGCTTGGCGAAGCCCTGTTGGAATCCCGCTACTTCCACCACCACGCCGTCGTGCTGCTGGATCTCCATCAACTTCTCCTCCCCCCTTGCTGGATCAAGAAGGAGGAGACGTCACTGCTCCGTACGTGTGTTGAACGCGGAGGTGCCGTCCGTTCGGTGCTAGGATCATCGGTGATTTGGATCACGACGAGTACGACTCCATCAACCCCGTTCTCTTGAACGCTTCCGCGCGCGATCTACAAGGGTATGTAGATCCACTCCTCCCTCGTTGCTAGATGACTCCATAGATTGATCTTGGTGACACGTAGGAAAATTTTGAATTATTGCTACGTTCCCCTACAAATATTTAGCATAGAAGTAATAGATCATATCCTAGGGACTGTGCACTCAACCAAGGTCAAGAGAATTAAACCATATTTTAGCATCACTCTTTAATGAGAACGGAAATAACTTAAGGATATAGTAGTAACGAATTTTCTCCTCATTAGTGAACATGGTGGCTATATCATTTAATTTAGTAAGATGTGACACAATAGTTTTAGATTCATAGTAATAAAAAGGATCAGATTCAATCAAAGTAATTAACTCAGGATTGAAAGAGAAATCATAATCCTTATCAGAAATACAGATAGGTGAAGTAGCAAAAGCAGGGTCATATTTCATTCTAGCATTCAAAGACTTCTCTTTCAGGTTAGCTAACAGTTTCTTAAGATCATATCTATCTTTGCAAGCTAAAAGATCTCTAGCAGTTTCTTCATCCATAACATAACCCTCAGACACATCAGACAATTCATATCTAGGGGGAGAATCTTCATCATCACTTTCATCAATATTAACATTTTCAATAATTTCATTTTCTCTAAACCTAGCAAGTTGTTCATTAAAAAATTCACCTAATGGCAAAGTTTTGTCAAGCATAGAAGTAGTTTCATCATAAGCATCACGCATAGCGGAAGTGACATCATCAATAACATGCGACATATCAGAATCAGTAGCATGAGTAGGTTTAGGCGTCGCAAGTTTACTCAAAACAGAAGGTGAATCAAGTGCAGAGCTAGATGGCAGTTCCTTACCTCCCCTCATAGTTGAGGGATAAATCTTGGTTTTTTCGTCTTTCAAGTTTCTCATAATGATCAACAGATATAAATCCCAAGTGACTCAAAGAATAGAGCTATACTCCCCGGCAACGGCGCCAGAAAATAGTCTTGATAACCCAGAAGTATAGGGGTCGCAACTGTTTTTGAGGGAGAGTATTCAACCCAAATTTATTGATTCAACACAAGGGAAGTCAAAGAATATTCTCAAGTATTAACAGTTGAGTTGTCAATCCAACCGCACTTGAAAGACTTAATATTTGTAGCAAAATATTTAGTAACAAAGTAATATGGAAGTAGCGGTAACGGTGGCAAAAGTAACAATAGTAGTTTTTATAGTGATTGTAACAGTGGCAACGGAAAAGTAACTAAGTAAAGAACAATATATGAAAAGCTCATAGGCAATGGACCAGTGATGGATAATTATGTCGGATGCGATTCCTCATGCAACAGTTATAACATAGGGTGACACAGAACTAGCTCCAGTTCATCAAAGTAATGTAGGCATGTATTCCGCATATAGTCATACGTGCTTATGGAAAAGAACTTGCATGCCATCTTTTGTCCTACCCTTCCATGGCAGCGGGGTCCTATTAGAAATTAAGGGATATTAAGGCCTCCTTTTAATAGAGTACCAGATCAAAGCATTAACACTTAGTGAATACATGAACTCCTCAAACTACGGTCATCACCGGGAGTGGTCCTGATTATTGTCACTTCGGGGTTACCGGATCATAACACATAGCAGGTGACTATTGACTTGCAAGATAGAATCAAGAACTCACATATATTCATGTAATAGGTTAAGATCTGAAATCATGGCACTCGGGCCCTAGTGACAAGCATTAAGCATAGCAAAGTCATAGCAACATCAATCTCATAAACATAGTGGATACTAGGGATCAAATCCTAACAAAACTAACTTGATTACATGATAAATCTCATCCAACCCATCACCGTCCAGCAAGTCTACGATGGAATTACAAAGGCATGGCGGTGAGCATCATGAAATTGGTGATGAAGGAAGGTTGATGATGACGACGACAACGGATTCCCCTCTCTGGAGCTCCGAACGGACTCCAGATCTACCCTCCCGAGAGAGATTAGGGCTTGGCGGCGGCTCAGTGTCGTAAAACGCGATGAATCATTCTCTCTGATTTTTTTCTCCTCGAATGTGAATATATAGAGTTGGAGTTGATGTCGGTGGAGCCTCAGAGGGCCCATGAGGCAGGGGCGCGTCCCGGGGGGCGCCCTGCACCCTCGTGGACAGGGTGGACCCCCTGGTGTTGATTCTTTCGCCAGTATTTTTTATTAATTCCAACAATATTCTCCATGAAGTTTCAGGTCATTCCGAAAACTTTTATTTCTGCACAAAAATAACACCATGGCAATTCTGCTGAAAACAATATCAGTCCGGGTTAGTTCCATTTAAATCATGCAAGTTAGAGTCCAAACTAAAGGCAAAAGTGTTTGGAAAAGTAGATACGTTGGAGACGTAGCAGCCGTCATTCTCTCGCCGCTGTGGCAGCTTCTGGACGCCGCGGCGGATGGAGCCGGGATCGTCCTCGTCGTCGGCCTCCGGCTCGCTGGCGCTTCGCCTCGTCAAGCCCGAGCCGGAGGAGACGCCGCTCGGGCGCCGCACTCGTAGCGGCGCCCTCGTCATCAACGAGGGTGCCCGACTCTCCCCGCGCTCTCTCCTATTGGTTCGGTCGAAGCCCGAGCCGGGGCTGCTCCCCGTGAAGCCGGAGCACGCCGACATGGTGGCCCCCGACGACGAGTCCACCCTCAAGTGGGCGAAGAAGGACTACGTCCGCGAGCAGGTGCGCCGCCAGCGCCAAGCGTACCTGGAGCTCCAGGCTTGTCACCGCGGGCGCGAGGAGGGCAACGTCATCGTCCTCGACAGCGACGAGGAGGACGAGGCCAAGCCGTCCAGCGCCCCACCGCGTGTCGGCGACCCCGGCCAGGGCTGCAGCAGGGACGACGACGGCGTAAGCGAGGCGCGCGACGACGACGACGATGATGGCGACGGCGACTGCACCCGCTTCTACAGACTTTTCGACATGTAGACGACGACGCTGGCTAGGCTTTTAGTTTGGCGTAATTAGGCGTGGTTTGCATGTGTTTTATGTTTTTGTACAAATTTCAATAAAGTATCACCGAGTTTGTATAAAAATCGCCGAGTTTGCAAAAATTTGAATGAAATATCGCCGAACCCGCAACGACTTGTGGGCCAACGACTAGAAACGAAGTAATCCTCAGAGACCAATCTAACGCCGATTCACCCTCAGACCGCTCTTTTTCGATAACCGGGAGGCCGAATGGCTAGAGATGCCCTAAGTTCGCAGGCTTGGTGGAGCAGGACCACCCGTTCGATCACACGCTATTACTCCTCGTAGCAAAAAGCAACGGGCAGAATTCGCTGAAACCGAAAACGCTCCACCGTTGCCCATAGGGAAACATTTACGCCAGCCCTTTGTCGAAAAAAAAACTATGCCAGCCCAACGCGAGTCGCCTTCACACCGCGAGAGACGTGATGGTTGCAGCACGCCTAAACCCAAAATTCGAAATCCCCCAACCGTGCGAAATTACGAGACAGCCCCTGTCCACCCGCAGCGCTCCCAACGGTCGGACGAATCCGGCCGTCCACGCGCACCCCGGCGCTCGGTCACACCCGTCGAAACCTGAATCCCCTCCCAGCCCTGGCCGCACCGCAGACCTAGGAGGGTAGAACCGTCCGACGCAAAAGTCTCTCTCACCTTATATCTCGGCCGAATCCCCCAACGCCGCCCGCATTCGAAAACCTTCCTCGCGAAACCCCAGCCCCGCTCCTCCGCTCCACCCCCCACCTCCCCTGGTCCCTCGCGAGAGCAGGTCCGGGTCGCGTCTCCGGCGGCGGAGAAGCAAGACAAGGGCGGCGGAGATGTCGGTCAGCAACATAGGGATGATGGACGGCGCCTACTTCGTGGGGCGGAACGAGATCCTCGCCTGGATCAACACTACCCTGCAGCTCGGCCTCGCCAAGGTCGAGGAGGTACGTTCGGATCTCCCCCCTCCCCTCTCCACCTCGTCTTCCAATGGCCTGTTCGTCCCCCGATCCGTGCGGTTTTGCTGGATCTGCGGGCGCGATTTCGGTTCGGTTCGTTGCGTTTCGGGATGCTCACACGGCGCGCGGCCGGAATTCTCGTGTGTGTGCAGGCGGCGTCGGGCGCGGTGGCGTGCCAGCTCATGGACGCGGCGCACCCCGGGGCGGTGCCCATGCACAAGGTCAACTTCGACGCCAAGAACGAGTACGACATGATCCAGAACTACAAGGTCCTGCAGGATGTGTTCAACAAGCTGAAGATCACCAAGGTGCGCTCCCATTTCTTCTTCCCCTCTCGCGAGCGAATTTATGTGGCGTTAGTTGTATTGCTCATGCCGCCAGATTACTCCGCACACGAGGATGCACTAACAATTTGTAGGTTATCAGTTAATTGTGGAGTTGTGGTCACCAGAATTCTATATACAGACACTGAGCCATGAGTTCGGCAATTGGCTAGTAATTTGATGGGTATATGTAGTTTTGTTGATTGTGAAAGTGAACGGTCGAGACATCACATTTTTAGGCTGTTCAAAATACGGATCTGAATAGAAGGTTCCCTAAATAAATAGTGTTTTTTGCTGTGTGGAGAATTGCCATGTGTTGTCAGAACCGCGTGAAAACTGAAATTCAGTCCTTTTTAACTTTGAAGCACATGAGCAGTCTGGATTCTTATTGAGGATATCCTTACTTGTTAAGTACTTCCATAGGGACTATTAGTGTAACTGAATTTTATATAAAAATATATATATCTGAATATGTAAACTGTGTACAACCTACATAAATGGTGTTTGTCATCAGAACTGTGTGAAAACTGAAATTCAACCCTTTTGAGCAATCTGGATTACCATTGAGCATATCCTTACTTCTTGTTATTCCTTAGGGACTGTTAATGTAACTGAACATTGTGATATTTTGTCACTGTCGCAGCACATTGAGGTTAATAAGCTCATCAAAGGAAGGCCCCTAGACAACCTGGAGTTCATGCAGTGGATGAAAAGATACTGTGATTCTGTTAATGGTGGATTCATGACCAGGTAGCCAACCCCATTCTTTCTGTAGCATATATGACCAGGTAGTGTTACCAATTGTGCTTATCATATCTCATGAAAATCCTCTGAACACGCAGCTACAATGCTTCCGAGAGAAGAGAAAGCAGCAAGGGTGGGAAAGACACCAACAGAAGGACATCAGGGACTTCCCAGGCGCCTGCCAAGTCTGCATCCGCCACCCACAAAGCTCAGCCTCCGTCGCACGCAGCTAAGCGGGCCAACGGGCATGCTTCAAATGCTCCACAGCGGTGCGCAAAGCCGCCTCCAGCTTATGATGCACAGGTGAGAGTGACTTGGCATGAACGCTGAGCATAACTTTCTTGCTGTCTCTCGGCATTGCACAAGTCCTGTATTCTGACAATGATGCTTTGCAGATGACCGAGCTGAAACTCCTTGTTGATAGCGCCGAGAAAGAGAGAGATTTCTATTTCTCTAAGCTGCGGGACGTTGAGATCTTGTGCCAGAGCCCCGAGGTTGAGCATTTACCGGTAAGTAGCAGAAATGCTTAACCATTCTCTTACTAGGCGCCTGCCAATTGGCTACCAGTGTGTTAAAAAAAGCCTTCTGAACAAGTGTAAACATCATGCTTGTAGAGTACAACAGCAGGTGTCTGAACGTGTAAACATCATGCTTGTAGAGTACAACAGCAGGTGTCTGAACCTTGATCTATGTATTTGAAAGGGCAATGTTGACGATGAAATCTTTATCTCGCGTGCAGATTGTGAAGGCTATCCAGAAGATACTCTATGCTTCGGAGGACGACCCCTCGACGGTGGCGGAAGCCCAGGCAGAGATGGTGGCGCAGCAGAACCAGATGCAGCAGCAGCCAATGCTGAGCCCCATCCTGGAGGCGTCCGAGGCCCCAAGCATCACCCCCAAGGATTCTTCCGAGGAGAGCTTGAGGCAGGAAGCAGCGGCAGCACACAAGAGGAAGAGCATCTCGGACCTGGAGGAGTTCGAGATGGGGTCGAGCTCCAGGATGAGGCTCTCAGACGTCTCGGACGTGCAGCTGTGCGGCTCACCGTTGATGAGCTTCACCTGAAAGAAAGGAGGGACCGAATTGCAGGGGCTGAGTTGATGTCATTGCCGGTTATGACTTGTGGGTTTATCTTGTGTTGTTTCGTTTGTTGTTTGGTGTCATAATGTGTGTGCTCTTGTGGAGCTGGAGTTGAACCTGCCTTTGACTGTGATCGATCTGCCACAGCATTTGTGGCCTTCTGCAACATGCTATTATTGAATAGCCTCTTTTATGTAGTCACTGGTGTTCCTTGCTCTGCCTCTCTTATTGCAAGACGGTCTGTTTTCGATTCCAAAAAGGTTGCTGCGCTCTGATTTTTTTGTTAGCGGGTATCCCTGGAATACAAATTCTGTGCTGGTGCCTGAATCCTCTTCATCTTTCCTGTCCGCCGTCGTTGCATTCTCTCCGCTGGCATCATCGAGCTCGACCAACCTGCCATATAGTGTGCTGGCAAGACAGCTTTCCCATCATCAAGGGCCTTGTGCTGGTGGAGGGACACGTGAAGCAGTTCACAATAGATACAAATGCCTGAACCATAAGGTATGTTTTCTTTGAATTTAGTGTTTGGTGGCCCTGTGATTTTTTTGGAGGTGGGTCGATGCTAATGAAGATTATCTGGTGGCAAAAGGGATATTGCCAATGCACTCTAATTAATAAAAGAAGAAGCTCAATGTCGGATGCAAAGGCAAGAAGGCGTTGAAGTATCCGGGAAGATTTAACCTGAGGATTCAGGTTGTATTTTGATTATCTTCTGCGCTGGCGTCTCTCAGTTATCTGTTTATGTTACTATCATTATATTTACTGTCGTTTTCACCATTGAGGTTACATTATGATTCTCTTTTGTATTAACATTACTTACTGAATTATGTGTTCACAATACATTTCATATTATATAACCATCGAGACTATGTACAGGAGAAGACACTGAGCCTGCAAATACAGACATAGAATACTCCACATCTAGGGATTCAGGTCACACTTTGATTCTCTTCTGCATTCACATTACTTCTGAATTATGTGTTCACAATACATTCTCTATTGGATTTTATTAATGCTGTTTTCACTGTTGACATACACACAGGAATAAGACACCGAGGACATTCCTTCTGAATATGAATCTTCTTTTGAGCTAGATGATAGTCACACACCTCCAGGGCATGATTATGTCTTACATCAGGGAACTACTGTGCTTGTGGCTCACTACGCTTCTCCAGGATGTTCGAGCTGAAACTCCTGTGCTCCTGTATGTTTTACTGTTTTTTTTGTCAAAGTTGTCAGTTATAACGTTTAAATGCTTAATTTTTTTATTTATGTCTGAACCTTTTAATCCATTGAATATTTGGTATAATCATGCTTCTATATTGATAGCGTGATTATAACAGGGTTCATTAGAGGCGTCAAATTTCCTGAGAGTGAAAAGCCCACATCAATATGAAGAAAAGGAAATGTGAATCACTGATAGTTATTGAGTTCAGTAAATGAAGACAGTTCTATTTTCAGATACTAAAATATATTATCTCCGCCCCGAAATACTTGTCTTAGATTTGTCTCCTTATCTAGACGGGGAACTTTGTGCATTTTAAAGTTAGTTATACACGAAATGCAGTTGTGGAAGTTCTATAAGATAGCAGTTTAAGTTATCGTGTACAAGTACACAATGTGCTCAGATTATCTAGTGATGTTGGCACTTTGTTAGAACTAGCATCACATTTCCCTGATAGCATATATTGTCTTTTGCTCCGATTTACAACCAAAACATTCACAAATAAGCTCGAATCCTTATCAGAAACATCACTGCAGAAATATTTTTATTTTCAGATTAGCTCCTGGTCCTTGAATCTGGCTACCTTGGCATTGTCTCTGTCGTGCTTGAACACAAGGTACAAAGGGCTGTAGAACAGGACACAAATACCAAAAGGAAGGATCATCATGGTTAGTAGCCCTCTCGACAGCGCATACGCCCCTTGTGCTGATCCGTTTGCGATGTTTACAGTCTTGGCGTCGTAGCCATATATCTTCTCAGTGACCAAGCCAACAGCAGGAGCGGCCAGTGAGGCGAATGAACCCTCAAAAGCCCGGTCGAAGGCGTAGATCATGGTGCGGTGCTTGGGAGGGACTACCTCCGCGAACATGGGGTTGTTTGCGGAAGTAGCACACCAGCTGATGGTGATACCCATGAAGAAGAGTGTGACGGCGTAGGCAAACCAGTAGTCAGTTGACTGAGGAATGACTGTAAGAAGGATCCATGAGAAAGGAATGCCCATGAAGGCGCTAAACTGAGCGCACATGATGCGTGCAGAATCGGGATAGTGCCGTGACAGGCGGTCTGCTAGTACACCACCAAGGAGAGCTCCACTGGCGCACCCAATGGCGAATAGGCTGTTCAATGCTGCAGAACTCCTATTGTCAAAACCTAAGAGGAGTTCAAACATGGAGCGTCAATATTCAACTTTCTTTTAGAGAATTTAATTTAGGAGCTTATCAGCTTGTTTGCCTTACCAATGAGTTCAAACCACATGGTGAAGAAAACTATGGCGGTCCAGGGCAATGAGCCAATTATCCCCTGCAACACAATGATCTGAAATGTCTTCACTTTCATGACACTCTTCATTGCTACCCAAGAATCCATCCAGATAGAGGTCGGAGGAAGAACATCTTTGCTGGACAGATGTGACCTGGGAAAAGAGGAGGATACAAATATTTATGTTTATTCATCTCTTCGCTAGCTTTGGCTCAATTACTACACACTTTAGTTAGAACACGAAGAAATCTACTCCCTCTGTCCCATAATATTGTGGGACAGAGGGAGTATCCTGTAAATCAAAGCATCCCTAATGCAGTCACATTGCAAGTTAACAAGCTTCACTGACCAAGGAAATCTTTTGGTTTTTTATCTGCAGTTACAAACTGGAAGGGACAAAGTAATGAAACAAGAGATATGCATCTTTAGAATCAACCTCATCACATATTATTCACTGCAGAACAAATTTATATTCCTGCAAGTAAATAGAAAATCATGATAGCATCTTATCTGGCAGAATCATAGCATCTATATGATCACCAAATCACTGTACACAACACACAAAGGTCTCTCTCTGTAAGGGTGTTCTTTAGACTCGTTTTAGCAGGACTCGGGTACTAGTTCTGATTAATGAAGCCTCGCAGCATGACAAGATAAATTAAACAAACACACAATTTAAAAATTAATAAGGGGAAATACCTCTCGTAGTCGTCGTCATCAAGAAGATGATTTCCAGGGATTCTTCTTGGATCAGTAGAATACAAGTAGACAAGAATTCCAATTATGAAGCTGACAAGCGCAACCATAATAAAAGCAAGACGCCACCCGGGCAATCCCCAGTAGTCCTTCCCAGCCATGAGTGTTGCCACAATACTACCACCTATACCTCCTACTGCACCGATGAGGCTTAACAAACCAAACCCAGCTCCGCGTGTACCATCTTTGTAGCTATCCGCTATGAACGACTGAAGTGCTGGTATTACAATGGCAAGTCCAAGGCCATTTATAGCTCTCCAGAATGCAACCTGCTGAAAATGCTGGCTAACACCAACAGCCCCTGTTGATAAGGCCCAGAAGACAGTTCCTATTGCAAGCACTGCTGGGCGATCATAGTGAAGAGCAAGGATGCCGGCCAAGGGCGATGCTATCGACTTAAGAAAGTTCATTACAAAATTAAGGTATCCCAGGTCAGTGGGACCAGCATTGAAGGCTGCACCGACTTCCTTGTAAACTGCTGGAAGAAGATTCTCATCAGCACGCTCCATAATAGAAGCCAGATTGATGAGGATGAGAGATACGGAGAAACCAAATATCTTCTTCACTCTGCCAATAAGGAAAGTGTGTAAATTGTTTATGCTGTAGAATGCAACTATGCAAGGAAAGTTCCCCACCACGGTCCAGCAAATTACGCGAAATATTCTATTACACTCATGCCGGTATTTGACGAAAGTATGCACTATTACACCTCTGTTGTTGAACACGATTGTAATTTTTTTAAATCCTCTTTTGGTAATCTTCCTTTCATTTCAACTAATATACTACTATTATCCTTTCCCATTGTGTAGTGCCTGGTTACAGCTCCAGATTTTGGGATCATGGAATGTGAGGAATAAAAGAAGTCTTCCGAGATAACTGCACAACTCAAATTTCCTTCGGTGTTTAATATTTGTGTGCCTCAAATTTCTCACAGATTTCATTTAGATCAACTGTACTGCATACCAAACCTCATGCCGTTTCGCATTTGAACTGAAGATAGAGGAGGAGTTGACGACAAGCTTCTATTCCTTCACAGAAAGGCAAAACATAGGCATAACATGACGGTTTGAGATCTCCAACACATATGGACCAGTCTGTCATGAAAACTGGTGGTTTGATCTGGCTCTAGATGAGTTTGAAAATAAATTGGTAGAGAAAACTAGTCCACATCATTAGTATGTTGTTCAATGTTCATTGTTCAATTCATTTTACATGATATAGCTCAAAATATTTAACAAATGATCAAGCAATCTGTTCTAACTCTTTCACCAAAATTAGCTGAAGTAGTTGTAACTAATGATGATTAACTAGGTCATACTAGGTGGGTCTTCAGTCCGTTAATTGGGTAATATTAGCGGTGAGTTGACTAATTAGCACAGTAATAAATTTAGAACCGATTATAAGTTTGCGTGGCATTTATTATCACTATTGTGAAAAATGAAGAAGAAGCCTCTAGTCGGCGCCTTGCCAAATCAAATCGTGATTTTCTAGCAAATGACTGATGTGCTGGCTAATCAACATGTTAGTTCAACAGTTTAATTTGTCATTCAATGATAATGGGGTTAATGGGAAAGAATCTCCCATGTGAGCTAAAATGCTAATCCCTTGACACTAACCAATTATGCAACCTGAAATGAACATGATGGTTGCAGACCTACATACAAGAAAAGATCGAACTATTATCACAACTTTCTTGAGGAATGCAACACCTTCATATGGATAGAGCCATGAGATTCTTGCAACTGAC